TTTTAAAGGTGCTGGGTGATGCTCTTTCTCTTGCTTCTCTCACATTCTTGAACTCCACCTTTTTTTTCTGCATAATTCCGAATATTAGTCGGCACATGTTAGACTTCCTGTGTATGAAAAGACGAAATTAAAAAAAAAAAAAAAAAACTCATATCAATCAAATCAGTTAAAACACTAGTGTTTACTCCCTCGCACTTCTTTCAAATCGTCAGGTGGAGTTTGCCATTGCTATCAAAGCAATCTGCAACAATTGGCCTCTATAAAAATTGACCTGAAGTTTGTTTTTGTCCGAGAATTTTTGGTTGCAAAAAGCAGTAATTGCGACCTCAGGTCAGTTTTTGTCACGAATTGTGTTTTGACACTTCCAGTCTGGTTGTTCGTTCTATATCATACTTCAGCTTTTATCTTTTATAATTTTTGAATTATTTTTAGGCTTCTTAACCTAATTTTGTTCATATTCGGGTACTGTAGATAAATTGAATATGCTGTTTCCTTCTGGATGTGTGTTGTGTCGCCATCGTGCTTATCAGCCTCCTTGTCTTTCTTTTCATTTCCAGTAATAGGGTACAGATTTATTTTTGGGAAATTTTCAAATACGGTGTCTTTGCTGATTTTTTGTGGGACGGAATGCTTGATGAATTTAGGAAGATCACAGAGACCACTTTAATGTTGATCGTTGATTACTTCCTGTGATACTTCCGGTTACCAAAAAGTTTCCCATTTGTCTTCTGCCGCCAAAAAAACGGTTACAACTTATTTTTAGCACTTTCAAAAACAAACTATTTCTGGCTTAAAAATGAATCATTTTCACATACACATTCATCTGCTGTGTGCATGTGTTCCCCTAATTCCCTTTTGATTATGCTGTTCTTGAATAAAACCAAAAAAAAAAAAAAATAAAATCCTTTATGTGAGCGACAGAGGCACTCAGAAATAGCTCAAGTACAGCCCCTTGTTTTCCTGGCTTGCAGTGGTTTCCCTTCTGGTGAGTTTCGTAGAATCAAACTAATGATAGTTATTACTTATCCAGTTAGTCGCAGTTTTAATCATTATTGTCTTTTCTTAAGCACATTGATTTGTCTGTTCTGACTTCCCTGTTTTCATATGTTTGTATTTTAATTCTTATTCCCGAATTGTGTTAAAAATTCGCGTCCTGGTGGGTTTGTTATATTTGGTGGTACTGACATTTTCAAGCCGTTCGTTCGTTTCAGTGTTAAAGTGCTACTACCGCCGCATATTAGGAAGTGCACACAGAGTTAACTTGTACCTGATCAGAAGGAATCCTTTAAATGTTTGCACCATTGGAATGTTGCTTTAGCTCGATTCGCTAATAGCGAGTAAAATTGAAGGGATTTTTGGCCAATAACTTTTTTGGGAATAATTAATAATGCATAATTGAGTCTGGTTTAGAGCGTTTTTTTTATTACTTTGTGGTCTCCTTGAATGCATGCTTTTTTCATCCCTCTCCGAATTAATCGTTG